GTACTTTCGCTTCTTAGAGCATCTTCAGGGGCATTTCGTCATTTTGGGCTATCCAAACAATCGCAGAATGTTATAAACATAAAACTAAACATAAAGTTATAGATAAAACTACACTAAACAAGGACAAACAGTTTAAAATTATTTTAAAAGTAGTCGAAGCTAAATTCTGGTCGATAACACGAGAGATTGGTTCAAAGTATTAACAGAAATGTCATTTCCTTCCATATTCCTTCCATCAATAGCAATATTTCGATTTAGCACCAAATTATTCATTATTTACGTCTGGTACATATTAATATTTAATCCGACCTCCAAGGAAGCGTGTTATAATTTCTTAAACATTATTATTGCATCATCTGCAGACGATGTCATCTGCAAATCTCAAATGACTGAGATTCTCTCTATTTATGTTAATACCATGCTCGTTCAGATGTACCTTCTCGCAAGTATGTTCTAAAAGCGTCGTGATTAGTTTTGGAGAGACTGTATCCCCTTACCGTACTCCTTGCTGTATACAGAATTTATTTGTTTCTTGTTCAGATAGTCTTACGCTAGCTGTATCATTTTGGTAGATATATTTGATTAGATCAGTGTAGCGATGGTCCATTCGCCGTTCTGTCAATGCTTTTAACATTTTCTGATGGCTTATGGTATTGAATGCTTTCTCGTAGTCGACAAATATTAGTGCCAATGTTTTGTTGTATTCTGCAGACTTTTTTATTAGGTTCTTGATCACTAGTAAGTGGTCCTTAGTGCTGTAACCTGGTGTTAATCCAGCTTGTTCTCTAGGCTGATATAAGTCTAATTTATTCTTCCATCTTGTTTTGGTAATTTTTGTGAAAAGCTTTTATATGTGTGAAAGCAAACTGATAGGATGGTAGTTTTTTAAATCTATGTCTTCTTACTTGTGATAAAGCAATGACTAGATTATTTCATTAAGAAGAAGTTTTTTCTTGATAGAAGCTTGGAGAAAGCCTGGATAATTTTATTTCCACCTAGTTTAATGGCTTCGATCACAACTCCATGATCGTCAGGGGATTTGTTATTTTTGATTTCTAAAAGTGCCGTTTTGATTTTGTATGGAGTTAGTTATTTCTGACATTAATTCTGATTCCTAATTTGTGATTTTGGATAGGGGCTGATTTTGCCTTTCGTCGGTGTTCTCATACATTTCGTGATAAAAGGATTCGGTAACTTAAAACTTTTGTTATATCAGTAATAATGTTTCTATCATTGTTTTTTATTTTGAACATATTTTTGTTAGCTATGTTGTTCGTATTTCGCCTCTTCTGTTTTCTTCAATTAAGAATCCTCTTCAATTGACCAGTAGATATCTTTATTTCTTCAGCCGTTCATAAGTGCGGAACGGACCGTATTTAACATGGGAAACTATTACTTACGGCAAAAATAAGAGCTAGACTGATTGTTTGATCACATCATACGAATGCCAGGTAACCAAAATGTTAAACCAATACTGAAGGGGGGAGAAATGATGAAAAAAAGAAGAGTGCCTTTTTATTTTTTGAGAGCAGTGATGCGAATGAGAAGAAACATCAAAATTTAAAAAACGAGTAAAACAAAAGGAAGAGGGAGATACGAATAATTAGAAATAAAACGAAATTCTAACGCAATCAATAACAAAAAAGATACACTAAATCTAAATTAAATATATTTTATTCTGATTTAAAAAATAATAAATGAAACACCATAAAATACTCTTTAATTTCATAGCTTGACGTTTAAATCACCGTTTCTTTAATTCTTTATCATCCTAATACAGAATACCCAAATTCACAAGATCCAAGATTCACAATGAAGGTATTTAGGTATTACGGCCCTTCCCTACTCAACTTGTTGATAATTTACAGGAATTATATAAACCGATTATATAATTATTAACCGAAATTATATAGAATTCGATGACCACGGTCCATCCGATCAGAAGGTATAAATAGGCCAGCACTTGTTTATAATAAATTATTAATAAGTTAAGCATTTAAGAATTTAATTGTTAATTGTATTAAGAAGGAACAGCAATTTGGACAAATCAGCGTAAACGGTCAACAAATAGAAAGAGTAAAAATATACACCTACCTTGGTACGAACGTCAATGAAAATTGGGACCATTCCATAGAAATCAATTGTAGAATAGAGAAAGCAAGATCTGCATTTCTAAAAATGGCTAAGGTATTCAAATATCATGATTTATTAATGCCCATAAAAATCAGGTTACTACGATGTTACATCTTTCCTGTACTGTTGTATGGAGTTGAGTCATGGACTCTCACAGAAGCCACCTGCAAGAAAATTGTGGCTTTTGAAATGCGGCTTTATCGTCGCATCCTGAAGATTTCGTATACCGAACACGTTACTAATGAGGGTGTTCTGTTGAGAATGAAAAAAGGAAAAGAGCTGTTAACCACAACAAAAACAGCCAAAATCGAATACCTCGGTCACATAATGAGGAACAGCGAAATATATGGACTGCTGCAACTAATCTTGCAGGGAAAAGTAGAAGGAAAACGGGGACCGGGAAGGCGAAGGATTTCCTGGCTGAAAAATCTACGAACGTGGTTCAACACAACAACTATAAATATTTTTAGAGCAGCAGTGTGCAAAGTGCAGATTGCCATGATGGTCGCCAACATCCGAAACGGCTAGGCACTACAAGAAGAAGAAGTATTTAGAGCGTTTATTTGTAGTTCGGCAACAAGTATATTGTATTGTATTTTTGAAAATAAAGTTTTAAAAAAGAAGTTTTCACGAAAATAAATTTAATTCAGGCCAAATGATTAAGTTGGTAATTCGGTTTAAACAAAACACACATTCAAATCGTTATTTACACTTTTCTTTGCACTAGCATCCAGATTAAAAAAATGTCATTAATTATCTTATTCATAGGGCTATTTTTACTTCCGAACTCGATACCTTCACGAAATTTCACATCTTTAGGAGAGCTTTATTTTGAAAGTTTACTTTAAGTTATAAATCGTAAACCATAAATCGCCAAATAAACATTGGAAGTGGAAAAACACAACATAATAGATTTGGAGACTATTTCTGGGTGTAGGACGTAAACTACACTATGTCGTTTTAGTGTAATATTGAGAGTTTGACATAGTGTTACGTATTTTACATTCTCTTTCTAACGGTATAATCCATTATGTTCTAGCTCTAATATAAAAGAATTATTCTGAAAGGTATATTACACTATTTATTAATTTCTATAAAGGTATATATCACCAACAGTACTTGGTGTTGTTTTGTTATTAAGGTTGTCGCATTTCATTTATACTATCTGGATATAATGTAGTGTTCCTATAGGTAACATGCGATTCATTGTGTTTAGAAATATGATCGGTGTAAGATGGCAGTTATGGAAGTTTGCCATGCTCTTCGAGATTTTCATAAAGGTTAATTTTCTTAACGTTTATGACCCATCTCATATTTTATTTAAAATAATATTTTTTGTTTGCAGATAGCCATGTGTCGATATGTAAAAATGTAGAAGATACATCGATTTCTTAAGCGGAAAGTAATGAAAGTAAACTTTCTTAACGTTTATGATCTATATTGTATTTTATTTTATTTACTTCTGCAGGAGCTCCAGTAAATGAGCTGATAGTCAGCAGTGCTTCGAATTCCATGGACGGCTCGCCGTACAAATATCTCGGTTCTGAATGAAATTAAACCGGATCAGCGTCTCTCCAGTACCGTTTACTCTAGAATTTTAAAGTTCTTTGGCCATATCCATCGAAGTGATCACAAAATGGAGCGGTTGGTGGTCCAAGGAAGGCCTCAGACTCAACGCCAACGCGGAAGATCTCCACAGCGATGGGCGGACATTACTAAAAAGCTTCTCAATAAACAGTATACTGAGGCAATACATATAACTGATGACCGCGACCAGTGGAGAAATATTATCAATCAAACTGTCCGAGCTGCTGAAGCCCAATTATGAACCACAACACATCTACTAAGATGTTAATGACTGTGATGATGATGATTACACCAGTATCAGGAGCTATAACATTATGTCACAAACTTATGTAAACGATTAGAGGGTAAACAATAATATGTTTATTAAAAAAAATCACATCTTCCTAAATTATGTTTAAACTACAGTAATACATACAAAAGTAGGTAATTATTTTATATGTCTTTTAAATTTACATTTAGTGTTGATAATTATTAAAAAAGGCTTAATAATTATTATTATTTTCGAGGTAAGGCATACTATAAACCGCCTTTTCTCAAAAGTATATTTTATGACATAGTGTAGTTTACCGCCGACAAACAGATTTAATACCTGATCATTTCATTTGAAGTACTTTGTTGATTTATTTTTTAACTGCTTTTATTTTCCTTGTATTAATTTATTTGATGGATAGACATAAATTTTCCCGAGATATAAAACACCAAAACTACATTTTTTCAACAATTAATTTATTTTAGTATAATACATGTCTTTTAAACCTGAAAAATTCAATATTCTCAGTTACTGTATTTTTATTTTCTAAATCGAACTAATAATTATAAATGATCCACTTTTATTAAAAAATATTCACAACGAATATAATAATATACATTTTTATGGTAGCAAATTGCATTCACGTTAGTTTAAAAATATGGGTAAAGTCGGACCTGCACGTCCAATTCCGAATGTTTACCGTACGGGTCCCTTATATGCCGCCTTTTAACGTAACCCAACAGCTGGTGATCCAGAAACCACCCCTCGAAAATGGGTGGGGTTTGTACTGTTTGCCTCGTGCCATGTGCGAATGTGTTTCTTTTCAAATTAGTTGATATAAAACTTCATTCCTCAAAACACTGTCGCACGCGACAAATCTATAATAGCGCCAAACTAATTGTAACATCCGGTGCAGCCGCTTCTACGAGATCTCATATTATTATTTAGTGACAGAAGTGAACTTTCTAAGTGATGACAAACTCGAGCGCGAAAATTAGTCTATTCTGAGAACTCGAACGAACACTCTACAATGTCTCAAATCAGTGTCGTACAATATAATCCTCCGTTAAATAAACTTAACATCTTACAGCAAAATAACGTTAATAACAAACAAAGTGAACGGCAGATTATTGTGTTAAGAAAACCTCCACAACTTCTTCCTCAACCCAAGGATTTTAATCGAGATGACGTCCTTATCACCAACACTGCCAAAAAGAAGTCAACAAGTAAACCAGCAAAGGAACTTAAAACAAGTCCAGCGCCGGTATCAGTAGCTAGAAGAAATGCTAGAGAACGTAATAGGGTCAAACAAGTCAACAATGGATTTGCAAACTTAAGGCAACATATTCCCAACTTCATAGCTGCAGCCTTTGAGTCTAGTAATGGAAGAGGTGGCAACAAAAAACTTAGTAAGGTAGAAACTCTTCGGATGGCGGTTGAATATATACGTAGTTTGGAAGATATCTTAGCTATGGATAGCACGGATGGCATACCAGAACATCCCTATCCATCACCAACGTCTTCAGCATCTCCTAACCACCAAATTACAAACAACGTTACTTATACGTATCAAATACTATCACCGCCAGATGACGACGATGATATGTCTTCTACTACTACTTCTTCACCACAACAATTCATCAAGATCGACACTTCATCAGGAGCCTTTCAAGTTCTTTCAAACACCATCTATGAAGATGACGAAAATTTGGATCCTCTGGTCGACGAACATTTGCTCACAGATCCTTCTTTATTAGATCCCAATTTAGCATTTAACGTTAACGCTCAGGACTTAAGTTATTTAAATACCATGCATACTACAGGATCAATCTCTCCAGGTATCTATAGTGACAGTTCTCTAAGTCCTGGATCTTTGGAAAAAAGTGATCCCAACTGTTACATACCAGTGTTTAATAACTCTAGGGAAGAACAGTTATGTGATGTGAAACCAAACATTAATGAACTTCCGGTTATTCACTTAAAGACTGAAAACGGGTTGACCGAAGAACACAAAGAAAATATTGAAGATGTTCTGCAATGGTGGGAACAGCGACCTCAACCCAGGGGCAGCTAATAATAACTAATGATTCCTAATATAATGTAGGTATGTACACGCATAATTTTTTAGTTAAATATTTCTGAATTTATTCTATGGTTATGGTTTTTAAAATTTATTTTTTGTTTGATAATGAATCTATGATATTAATTAAAAGAAAGTAGATATCTGTAGGGGGCCAAAAAATTAATATGGAAATATTAAGTTTTAGTTACTGTATAAACCAGGTTTATATATATATATATATATATATATATATATATATATATATATATATATAATTGGAAAATAAATTATTTATTTGATATTTTAAGTTTTAGAATAAAGGTTTTTTTAAAATCAAAATTTACATCTAAACAATTTTTATATTTTGTTACCTTTTGGTACAACAGAAATAAACTAAAGCCGCAATATTAATAATTTTTGGTTTTTTGACTTTCTATTGAATTTACAGCTTGAAATAATATTAAATTACTTTCTCCATATAACATAAGAAATTTTTTTTTTAATATTTTCAAGTTCTTCTATGTTTCATTATCCCTTTTCCACTTAGTATTTACTTTTAGAAGTTATTTTCATTTTTATATAACTTTGCAATAACTTTGTTCACCTGAATCTCGGATTTAACTATGCATATTTTCTGTATAAAAATAGCTATCATATATTTTCCGTAATAATTTTTTACTTTTTTTACACAACTTAGAAAATGGTAACTTTCCTCAGGATCTTTTTTAGAAAACGTTGATTTGTGTACCCAATTTTGCTTTAAAAAAACAGTTTTCGTTTGCAATTTTCTCCAAGGAATTAAGGCATTTCTAAAGTTAATTTACTTTTCAAGCTATTCTTATGAATTAAATGTTGTCATCGACGACAGTAGCTTTTGTATCAAAAATTTTCTGTAATATTTAAATAATTTTTTAACCCCTTGCTGTAAGAGCTGCCATTCAAATGTAATTTTCGATGATAGAATTAATAGTTTAACATTACATGAGATTAGTTGTGTAGTGTAATAAATAAGACTCAAGTTTAGCTAAGTATTTTCTAGGACTTCAAGTTCTTTTAATTTTTCTCTCTAGATTCTTCTAGAGACAAAATAAATTATTAAAATTAATTAGGCACTTGTGATAATCCTTTATTACGAGCTTGATGTTCTTTCTTTGTCTTCATTTGCATTGATACAAAGTAGAATTTTTGAAAGCCTTACCTTCTGGTGTATTTTTCTGCACTTTGAGCTAAGTTCTGATGGGTAACGCTTGAAAAAATAGTCTCGTCTGAACTACGCTAAAAAGGTCTTGTCGAAAATATCTAATGATTATGTTGAGAAGTTATTTGTTTCACTCAAAAACCACTGACACTGAAGCTGCATTTCTAAAATATAATTTGCCACTTTTAAGACTTCTCGAGACATCGATTAATTTTTTTTCAACTGTCTGATTTTCTTTGGAAATCTTCTTCTTCGGGTACCATATCAGAATTACCCGACGTTAGGCATCACCATTGCGAAGGCGTCTCTATCTTCTGCAATATAAAGAGATGCAATATGCAAGAAACCCGTTTTCTTCCTACACATACACCGCCATCTCTTTTGCCTTTAACGAGCAGTTGTAATATTTTATATCGACTTTTGCTTACTATATGTCCCAGATAAGACATTTTTTGATTTTTATCAGTCTTTAGCAGTTCTTGATTTTTGTTGACTCTTCTTAGTACTTTTTAATTAGTTTTCCTTGCTGTCCAAGGTATCTTCAGCATTTGTCTATGAACTCGTAATTCCAATGTTTTAATTTCGTTCATGATCAATACTTCTAGCGTCTACACTTCTGCACTATACAAAAGTATGGAATAGCACTTAACTATTCTTTGTCTTAGTTCTAAACTGAGATAATTATTGCAAAGAAATGACTTCATTTTCATAAAAATAGTTTTAGTCATTACTATTCTGCGTTTTACTTCTATGTCTGGATCTAGTTGGTCCGCTAGCACAGTTCTCAAATATGTCAGTTTGTAAACCTCCTCAATTTGGACTCCATTTAATTAAATCTTTGCACCTAAATGTGGGTCACGACTAAACACTAAAAATTTGGTTTTGTTTGAGTTTATTGTTATGCCCATTTCCTCTCCTACCTCGTGAATACGATCAAGCAGAATTTGGAGACCTTCAATATTATCTGACATAATTACTGTATCGTTTGCATATCTAGTCACATTAAGTAGTTCCCTGTTGATTTTTATTCCATATAGTTGTCTCTTATGTTCACTTTTAAATAACTGGCGACAAAATGCAACCTTGCCTGACTCCTCGTTGTATGGAGATATCATCGGTGTAGTGATCTCCAATTTTTAAGATTGCAGTTTGACTCCAGTACAAATTTTTAATGACACGAATATCCTTGTCATCTATTCCTATATTTTTTAGTATTTGCATTAATTTTACATGCTTTACTTTATCGAATGTCTTTTCGAAGTCCACGAAACATGCAAATACATTTTTTCTTTGGTCACGGCATTTTTGTAATAGGATCTTTAAAAATATCTTGCGAAAATATTCTCTTATAACGGTAAACAGCTTTTCGTTCCAGACAGAAACCACTAATAATCCCATAGTAGCCAAGTGCCTATTGCGAGACCTCTTTATATTATACCTTTTCAGTAGACAGGAAATATTTTGTCACTTGAAAAACTTTTTTACTAGAAGCTACTAGAATTTTCTTGAATGATTTGTACCTGCCTACTCCATATTTTATGCTCATTCATTCAAATATTTTTTTATATAATTTTGAAAAATATCTAGATGAAATTATTAAATATATTTTTTACTGTACTTCTGTAAAGTTAGTGTACTTGAGTTATTTTGCGTTTTTCGACGTTGAAGGACATGGCTGATTTTTTTTTATTTTATATACAAACCTATTGCAACTTGTAGGCTTTTTTATGATCTCTCAGCCATTATTTCGCATCGTGTTGAATCTTTCATGCAATATTTTTTCTCAGTTCTATGCGAATACCACTGACATTTATTTTAATACACTTCAATATTGACTAGATTTGAATTGAATTGAATTGAAGTTGCATTAAAATTTATTTTGAGTTCAAGAGCTATTACTGCAGTAAATTATTTTGGATATTAGGAATACACCAATCTTCGGTTTCCTTAATCTAACTTATAATTTTTAATTTTAATGTATATTTTTTTCTCAATAATTACGATTATATTTTTCTGGCGAATACATTATGTCTTAGCCTGTTATCTGAACTTTTCAGAAGTTTCACATTAAACTTATTTAACACGCTATTACTAACTTATTTTTGATGTCGTTAAGAAGCTACACTATTAGTTTTACCATTGTTTGATTTTTTTTTTAATTCCATTTATATTCGTTTTAATATTAATACTGTTTTTTTAATATTTTCGCGTAAAATTAATTAACAGCTTATTATTTTTGTTACCTATATCTAATTTTTTAATCCTTTATAGAAGTAATACTTTATTGAAAAAATAAAATTCAATATTTTACCAATATTTTTGTGGTATTTGTTAGTCCGTCTACTTTCGACAGTGAACTGTATTCCAAGCATGTTGTTGTATAGGTAATAGTTTACCAATATTGCCATATTAGCATTTTTTATATATTTTTGCCTCTGCCACTCTTTGGACATCTTCGTATCGATTTAGTTGTTAGATTTAATGTCCTATAATATTGTAAGTAAGAGACTCGCACCATATTCGGAAGATATTCTAGGTGCCTACCAATGCGGCTTTCGTGCTGGAAGGTCAATTATAGATTAGATATTTACCATCCGACAAATGTTAGAGAAAAACTTAGAATTCAACCGCGATTTGCACCAAATTTTCATAGATTTTCAGCAAGCATATGATTCCATAAAAAGAAGTAAATTGTGGATAAGAATGTTAGAAATGGGAATACCAAGACAATTAGTTGAATTCACGGAAATGTGAGTGACAGACTCATATGTGCAAGTAAAAATAGGAGCAGAACTTCGATGCCATTTGGTATAAATTGAGGACTTAAGCAGGGGGAGCCCTTGTCACCGTTGCTGTTTAATTTTGCTTTAGAATATGCAATAAGTAAATTATCGTCTGAGCTGACAGGAGGATTTGCTAATCAAAAATCAAAACTGTTGCTGACCTTTGCTGATGATATAGATGCAGGAAGGAAACAGGTAGTCTGGGTCTCAGAATAAATGGAGAAAAGATGAAATACATGCTAGTAACCCAAAAAATCAAGACCAAGAGTTGGGCAGAACATCTGTATTAATGATCACAACTTCGAAGTAGTAAAGGAGTGTAAATACCTGGGGGCGATAATCACAGCTGACAACCACATAGAAAAAGAGGTCTCAGCAAGGATAGCTGGGAGGAATAGAGCATTATACTCCCTTTCAACATTATTAAGAGCGAAGCTGCTAAAAATAATATCTAAACTAACACTGTACAAGCTGATTATTCGCGCAATTATTACATATGACAGTGAAACATAGACTCTCAACCAGCTGGAAATCAATAAGCTTCTAGTATGTGAAAGAATATCAAGTAAACCGAATAAGATGGGTAGGTCACATGGTACGATCAGAGAATGACATAGTGTTAAAGACAGTGTTTTTTGAAAGACCAGATGGTAGAATATCAGTAGGCCGACCGAGAAAAAGAGGAAAGGATGGTGTTGAAGCCGATTTATCTACAATTGGAATACAACAATGGGAAATAGAAGCGTAAGATCGTAGAGGATGGAGGGCGATAGTGAAGAATATTATATCGTCGCAATTATCTTGCTGATGATCTTTCTCTTTGCTTTTAGCCCTATGTGAAGTTGGCTTCCCTAAGTTTCTATCTTGGGCCATATCAACATTATTTCCTTATACCAACATGTCCTACTTAAGCGTATCTACCCAGGCCTTCTTCGTTCCGCCTTCTTACTTATTCTAGGAACCCGTAGATTAGCAATTTTTCGTATTGGATAACTATCGTTTGGACGTTGAACATGACCAAATTATCTTAA